ACCCTCAAACTCCCAGGCCTCTGGTAGGGGACCCGAGATTGAGGAAGACACATACCACCCATAGAGGTGAACAGAGTTGGAAGAGACCCTAAGGATCATCTGGTCCAATCCTCTCTAATGTGCAGGAAAACATATTAAAGTAATCCATAAGAGGTAGCCCTCCAACCATTTCTTAAAATCCTTCCAAGATGGAGAACCTCAACTTCTGTAGGCAGACTATTCTATTGTTCTACAGATCTTACCATCAGAAAGTTCTTCCTTATATTAGGGTTAATATATCTAATATATTGTTACATTAACTTCTCCAAGGTTAGTGGCAATATAACTCTGAATTCCATCTCCTAGGATAAGGAGGGTTCATTGCCCTGGGGCGGCTGGAGGCATCTTGCATTCCATGCAAGAAATAAATGCAGCCACATCTTGGAAAAGTGTAATTATATCACTGTTAATAACTGATTTATAATCAGTTGTGGAATTCAGAATATCAAGTGGAATATGCATTTCGCATACATATGGAGGAATAGGATATCTTGATTCTTAATTAAGACAGGACAGGACTGTGAAATGTCTTGACACATAAGGTACTCGACCCATGAGTTTCCTTCCTGAACTGCATGAAGCAGACAGATGTAACTGCAAATACATACATATATACATCATAAGTAAAGAAACTGAAAAAAAGCAATTTACTCATAGGGGATTTGAACGCATTTAACTTGGATACGTGAAATGTATGGAAGAGGTTGGGAAGATGCAATGATTGCAGCCTTGGAAGAGGTGAAGAGCCATCTAAAATGGTACTGAAAATATGCTCATGATAAGAAAGAGGTGTCTAGCTTGTCCAGTAATTCAAGAACTGCTTCTACATGTTCTAACACAAAACCAGCTTTGCTCAGCCTAGCATTTCTACAGTTCTACTGGACATTAAGTCCCTCATTTTACATTTGATGCTGGTTGGGAATGCTGAGTGTTAGCCCTAGACACCTAAGATGGCACTAAGATGAAATGAGGTAACTTTTTTAGTTACAAGAAAAATATATACTTGTTGTTAACGACAGTGAACCTTTATTTTAACAAACTAATCAGGGAGATGGGGGGGGCTGATATTCCCCGAAGTCCAGTAAATTGAAGAGTATGACATTGCCGTGATACAAGTGTCACAAATTACATCATTTGCACCATTGTCATGGTGATGTTATTGACATAACAGCATCACTATCCGAGTGACATAAATCACGACAGAATTTGGTCTATTGCATGCAGAGTCCATCATATCAAGATCTATAAAACTGAAGTTTCACTGTATTTTCAATTTTAAATGATGCTTCTTAGTCTTTGGAGTGCTAGCAGGATAAAAATATTTCAGCCAGCCAAACAAATACATTATTTCTATTTTTAAAAACATAAGCTTCCCCAAGCACTTGTTTTTAGAGCATTTATGCCATAATATCCACACTGTTTATGTAGACAATCCCACGGTATTCTTGGACAAGGTTCTTACTGATTTATCATAGCGGTCTGTCTCAAGATACTGCAAGCAACCACATCATTACTCTCTAAAAACTTCAGAAAGGAACACCGAAATTGATTCAGCTTTTTCTAAATATTGCCATCAAGCTGCTTACTTGGGTGGGGGAAGGGGGGAATCAACAAATAGTCCCCATTGCTGAAATCTCATTGCAAGGAATGTAACTCCTGCTTCTGTTAACCCAACAAAGTTGTTGAGAATAAAGAAACCCATGTATCAAGTCAACTTGCAATAATGTACAGAAAGATGTTCCCTTTAACTGTATCCGTTGGTTATCCATGCCCTGATCCACAATATTTCAATCCATCCTTCTCCCCCTGAGTGTTTGTCACACTTTCTAAATCTTGTCCCAATAAAGAAACATTTAGAATATGCGGAGATTGCCCAATTAAACAAACCCTGCCCTATGTTTTCAACATTAAGAGCATGGGAGGTTACATTCTTTGGAAAATAAGATAATGACCACGGTTGCATTTATGTTTGCCTTTCCGGCCCTTTCAATTTCTAAGGTCTTTTCAAACTTTTTTTTTAAACCCTGAAATGTAATCTAAACTTAAGTATTTACTGAGTAATTTTATGTATACCATGCTGCAGTAACAGCTCTTAGCACTAACTTGCTCATTGTGGATGTTTTTCGGTAGAAATCTACAGAATAAGTGATAAGGAGATAGATACTTGGAACAGATGTGGAAGCTAAAAGATTAATCAAGATAGAAAAATGAAAGGATAGCAATGGGAAAATATTCCTGGTCCGCTGGAATGGATGGTTATATTCCCATGGGCAAATGGGTAAATGCCTCAGTGGCCTGTTCCCATGTTAAGCTAAGCCAAAATGTGCTTTGTTGAGCTTTGGCTGAGTGTGTTGTCTGAACCCAATTACAGTGGCTTCTAACCAGAGTGTACAAATATGGATAGACAATATGGTTCCTGCAGGCACCCACCTACCTACCCCAGGTATCTCTTCTTGGTTCATCTGATTCTGGGATAATGCAAAGCATTCAGGAGCACTAATTTAGCTTTTGGTAAATGGGGACTTTATAAATGGCCATGCCTACCATTGCAACCATTCTGTGAAATAGGAAATCTGTTATAGCAGCCACTTAATGACAGCAGCCATCACATATTTTCAATGTTTTATACATTCATTAATGTAAAAAGTTTGCCTACCCCGGTCTATATCTTAATATTTGGTATTGATCCAACTAATTCTGTTTTATTAAAAAATATATCGTTAATCAAAGTATGCTTTACCATATTGTATCATGGGTTTGCCTGCTCCTTCCTGTTTTGAGATTAATTTGATACAACAGGCATACAATATAATATTTTACTGTGTGAAAATTCTTAATCATTATAACTAGTACCTTTTTGGTGTGAAATGTTTTCAACTTTGAAAAAGTTTAGCCTGAAATGCCTCATGGTCTGCTATCCACGTACTAACCAGACTCCTTGGCTTCTGAGGCCAGACAAAACCACAGATCCATGCAGGTATTGTCATCGGTATGATTTCTGACAAGTATTTTTTTTTCCTGGGGAAAGTGTACTCCCCAATTTAACAATAGTGTGGGGTGGGGGGAGAACCTGCAAAACAGGGTGAAAATATTTCTAAATCTAATCCATTCTGGCTCT